CTTTACAACAAGCCACACACATGTTCTGAAAAGTCTTTTTGCCCTTGCTATCAGACTACAGCTTTTTTCTCGGCGTACCTATACTTTACTACTTAGTATCTTTCCTAGAAAAACGTGCCCGGAGTTAAGTCTGACAAATGTATGTTTGAAAATGGCAAAGCCAGCTGCAATAGAATTACAGTTTTACAGAGATATTCGTTGGGAGTTGCACACCTGAAGTTGCATTTAACAGCTCCTTAAATAAGCCCCCAAGCTTTCCTCAACAACGTACAACAGGGACAGGCAGAAATGTCGGGTGTGATGGTGAACTGCAGTACTCTACACAATACAGTGCCGAGAACCAATCACAAGGATGTTTTGGCGTTCGTCCCCTCCCAGAATATCAGCTGACCAAACAATATTAACTCACCCCCCAGCACACGAACATAGATGGAAGAAACATGACCAAGTCACATCATCATAATAATCCTTCCTACCACATATCCAAATAGTAAGTTATGATGCTACTTCACAAGCCCAGTTCTGCTCAAAAACCTTGAACAACGTATTCCTCGAACACAGACTCCTCCAGACCAACACATTTCAGAAGCAGAATACATGCAGGGGTTGTTTTTTTTTATTCTTCCCGTAAGGAGCAAGTACGTGCTACAATCATCCTGCAAACCAACCGGTGTTCTTCCCAACGGCAGCTTCAGCCACCTGCTTTAAGGACTTGCACTCCGGAAGTCTGCTGCAGAGGGCAGCCCCCCGGGCAGATGTGTTTTCCGCAACAGCGCGTACCAGGAGCGTTAGGCTCTGTCCTTCAAAGCACCGGAGGCATTCACCATACTGCCCCGACGTCGCCTTACACGGGGGCAGCAGTATCTGTCCAGACTAACGCTTTCCAACCGAATGACTTCACATGTCAGAAGCCTATAGCAAAGCCCTAATTTCATTACAGCCACGGATTTAGCCTGGCTCTTTTCAGGCTCCTTGGCTTTTCCGAAAGCCATGGCCATACTGTGTCTCAGTCACTACTTTCACATTTCCAAATCCATCTGGCTTTTGTTCGTTTCTACAGTCCTCGTTTAACAAGCGCAGGAACATTTAATGACAGCAAATTAGTACCAAGATTTAAGAAGAGCAGCCTCTAGGAAAATGCACAGCTCTCAATATCTGAGATACTAGAAGATATTACTATAACACACCAAGGTCTACCTAAAGCATCTGGATCCAAGTTCTAGGTCTTGCTTTCCTTTTGTGTCTTTTAACGGCCATTCTGTCCCAAAAGAAACTTTCACATCAAGTTCACCAAATATATCAAGCAGGGGGAGGATAAGTAATCACTTGCACACACACCTAAATGGAAGTTAGAAAGCTGGTTTATTTGAAACTGTGAAATTCAAGTCCAATAGGTGAAATGCTGAACACCATGTAGGAAAACCCCGGTAAGACTGGGCTGCTCCCTTGGTGCCCCCAGCATGGGTGAACCCTGACACAGCTTCCCAAGTCCCCACGCCAAGCCACGCTGTTATCTCAAGAACAACCTTTCACCGTTCACAGCCGCAGGCTGCCGAACGCCTCCCTGCTGGAGTTTCACCAATACCAGCAGAGCTGCCCCAAAGATAACAGGGCTCATACCAAGGTTTTCGGAGTGAAAAGGAATGCCTGGATTTCAGAACTTCTACAGAGCATCCCTCTTCCTTACTCTGAGCCCTTCAAACTGGTTCATAAACAGTGTTATGCCCAAATATCACCTTCTTTAGTTGCAATGAGCTATTATTAGGTTACAAGAACACACTGCTTCTTACTCACTGTTACTCTCTGGGGTGAGGCATGTGGACAATCCCATAAATGGTGCTTATGTTTACTCCACACTGCTCTTAAATGACTAGGTTTTTCCCAACAGCAGCTTCTTTCGTTTTAAGTAACTGCACGTTACAAATTCATTAACATCAGTCGAAGTAATCGATACGAAAATATCAAGATTGTATCCAAAATAGAATTTCAAACATCTTATAGAACCTCAGGTGGACAGTCACCAAATCCCATTAAAAATGTCATGGCCTTTTAGAAATGCAACCAGAAACAATAATGTGTCTGCTTTAAAAATGATTGCACAGGGCAAAGTATGCTTACTACTTAAAAACCCACGAAATCAGTCTGGGCACATCACTCTGGCCTTGTCACACTGCCACACGTGAACTGCCCAGAGAGCATCCTCTTTTTTTTTCCTTCTGGGAAAGAAGAGTGGGAAGAGGGGGATGAACAGGAGGAAGAAAAAAGAACGCATGTTATAGGTTATATTTAACTGCCTATTAATAAATACTGGAGGGGCTGTTTGAAAAGCCCGACGGAACCAAGCACACGGAGGAAGAAAGGACACTGCTAAACAAGGCCTCAGCGTGGCCACCAGTACTAGTTTGTTCTTCGATTTGATTAAACCTTCCCAACAGCTTTTCTGTAACCTGTAACAGTGACCCTAGTTCACACTGAACAAGATCTTCTATTTCTAGTTGGGTTTTACAGTATTACGCTCGCTACAGGACAGTAACATCACCACATGAATATTGTCGGTTCAAGTGCTCAACAGTTTGAAATCTTGATGCGACCAATTCATCCGGTTTCAGTTTACCCAATTTCAGTCACAAAGGACTTCAAGGCCACGTATCTAATTTGGCAGGGAGGAGGCACCACCCAGTTACTACCTCATGCAACAGCAATTTAAGATGAAAATCGGATTTTTCACCAAGCTTCAGTGATACGTGGACGGGGCTTCTGCAGGTAACTGATGCGCACAGAAGAAACGTACTCCACGAATCCAAACCACCTGACGCTCTCCAGAGCAGCTTTGTTTTTTGAACAGAAGAAACCAAATGCTGCTCACGAGCTTTGAACAACAGGGATTTAAACAACCAGGCTTCAACACCAACAAAGAGAGTAAACACTTCTGGTTAGCAAGATCTATTATTTATCAGATAATAACACAACCATTTCAAGTCAGTCAATTATAACACTTCAACAGGCACCCTCAAGCCCCTCAAATCCCATCACGTTAAATATTAGTTAGATACTACAACTCATCAGGCTTAACTGGCACAGGTGTTTTGACTGGGGGGGTGTGTGAGGGCGGAAGATTGCCATGTGTTTTATTGCTACCAGCGCACCGAGAATTTGTAGGGGCTATGGACGTAAAGGTTACAATCACTTCTTCAGTGGATAAAACAAAAAACAGGTTAAAAAATTAGGACTGAAAGCCACAAATAATCAAATAGATGTTTTTCACATAGCTTACCTCAGTATTTTAACTAATATTATACACTTTATTGTTTAGAAAAAGACAATGACATTGCAGAAAAATAAAATGAAATTCTTAACAGGACAAATGTTTTACATGGTGGTATAAAAAGTGTAATGGGAGCCTGGAGGGGAAGGCGGGGGGAACAACAGCAACAACAAAAAAAACAACCCCACTACTCCAGAAACAGTAAAAAGCTAAAACAAATTCCAGATGTGTAAGTCTGAAGATTTTAGCTTTTTCAAATACACAACTACGTGTGCCTTTCACCATAACAGTCACAGCTGAACGAGACTTGGTGGACTACTGCACCCTTCAACAGGCCAGTCTGCAAGTTAAAAGAAACAATGCAATAAACTGCTTTAATCAATTAGTATGCCATTTACGGATTGCTTTCAGCCGTTACAAAAAGCTTGCTTACATATCTAATGATGTGTCTTCTATCGTCAAACTGTGCTTAACATTTTTTAGTTCAGACATACTGAAACCCAGCAGCACAGAGGGTCTGTGATTATTTATCGCCTTTAAGCATATATTCCTCCTTTTCCCAAAGAACGATGCAACATCAATTTTCCACGCATACAGCAGCGAGGAAAGCAATTCCAACTCCTTTTTAGAAGGATATGGCCTCTCGTTAAAGTAGTCTGTCAAAAACTGGTTTTGAGACTCATACGAATTGTGATCGTACCGTTTAGGATCTACTGCTAGAATGTGAAAATCCTCAGTACAAGGAAGCTTCATCTCAGCCCTACTATTCATCTTTTGTCGTTTGAAAGGCACTACCCCGGAATTCACTTCTTCTGGAGACAGAGCTATGCCAGTACTTATGCTCAGAGGCTGCTGTTCCTTATTCCTTTGGTCTTCTCCAACAAAGCAGGAATCCGACTGCTTTCGTTTCAGCATCACAGAATCATGCTTTTCACCGTTGACAAACAGGAGCTCTTTCTTCTCGGTACGCTCAAGCTGCATCTTCACTCTCGAGTTGCTGTCTTTGGGAGCACTTCTACAACGGAGCAGGTGGACGGCAATAGCCGTCAGGGTCATATTTCCCGTGTACACACCACAACAGTGGATGCACTTGAAAGCAGGAGACTTCAAAATCGTATGTACGGTTGGCATTATGTGATGCCGCTCCTTCAAATGCGTTTCGTAGGTCTCTTTGCTAACAAACGTACCGAAGCAAAAGGGACAAGTTAATATTTTCCTGCTGGATCTGTTGTTCACTTCTGCTGACTGAGGTTTCACTTTGACGTAAACAGGGACAAGGATCCTGGAACTCAGTCCAGCAAGCACTATCAAATGTACTTCCCTTTCACCAATGTCTTCTTTCGGTAACACTGTATTGAAATCAAAGTGTGGAAATACAAGGTCACCCTGAGCATCATTACCTAGTTGAAATCCTCTGTTGCTATAATCTGCGTGTAACTGCTTTTTCCCATCATGTGCAGTTTTATTGTGCTCCACGAGGCTTTTTAAGTCATGGAAAGTAACTGTGCAAAACAAGCAAGCCAAGCCATGCATCAAGAGATGCTTCATGAGCTCTTCCTCACAGAGAAAACATTTACAGGAGAAACACCAGACTGTCTTTTCTGTCATCCACAGAAAGGGGGCGAAAGCTGCAAGCTTGTCAGGCTCCTGGGTCTCCTCCCTTTTTACTTCACCATGTTTGTGGGCCACTTCCATGTGCACCTGGTAGACATTTGAGGGGAAAAGCTCATTGCAAACAGGGCAAGTCTTCCACTGCTTGGCCTGTCTGACAGCGTGACTGGTTTCAGGACCAGGCGAGGAGCCTTGCAACACTATATTTGGAGACGTTAAAACTACAGGAGGAGAGGGAGCGCTGGCCGGTGACTGGGACAACTGAGTTACTGGCCCAGGCTGCATGAGCTGGATGGGCACTTGGGGCGGCGTAACAGTTGCTACTCCACCCCCAGGAGGCATGGGCAACGTAACTGAAACTGGGGCAAGCGTGTACGTAGGTATCCCATTCACCTGCTTACCAGTTGGAATCAACTGCCTAAGTATGGAACCTGTCGTCAGAAAAGTTGTGTTTTGAGAAACCGCAGACTGAACTGGCTGATTTACTGGGATAACTGCCGGGGCAACAGGCTGATTAAGCTGAAGAAACCCAGGTCTGACAGGCTGTCTGACAGGAACAACACCAGAGGCAACAGGCTGGCTAAGCTGGAGAACGTTTGACGCAACTGTCTGCGCCACAGGAAGGACCCTTGGACCAATGGGTCTATTCACATTCCCCAGCGACTGGTTGACAGGGAGAACTCCCGCAGCAACCGGTTGATTCACAGGATTGACTGGCTGGGTAACAGGTAGCGTTCCAGCTGCAACTGGAACATTTATAGTACCGATGGGTTGATTAATAGGAAAGAGCCCAGGCCTGACAGGCTGATTAAGAGGAAGAACAGCGGGGGCCACAGGTCTATTTACAGTCCCAACAGAAGGATTAAGAGGAATAGCTCCGGGCCTAACAGGCTGATTAAGGGGGAGCCTATGGGAAACAATGATAGGCTGGGAAGGTGATGGCTGAATATTAACGTTACTCTGACCTACGGGAAGATTACTAGATACAAGAGCAACGTGCGATGGGGTAACAGCTGGAGCAGAAGTTGTATGTGGAAGGCTACCAGAGGCACTTGAAACAGCCAGCGGCCTGACTGTGTTTTGAACTACTTGTGGCTGCACCACACTCTGGTTTTGACAATTCTGTGGAAACGCGAGCTGGATGCATGCCGGAGCAGCCACAGGACCCGCAGACGGAGGAGGCACCGGCACCG